TCCGCTTTTTAGCGACGTTATCGAGACCACTCCGACGATCAATGCTTCTACAAGCAAGACGCAGCTATGCCTTTTTCTGGAGAAGCGCTTTGTGTCAGTAGAGCTAACGTCGTATGCCAGCTGGTGTCGATTTGGTACCAAAAAATAATTGATTGATATCGATGGCATATCGGAAAAGCGGCTATAAGGGTTGGAAGGCTATTAGCAAGTTGAATCGATTCGCTAACTGGAATGTTTGGGAAAACCAAAACCGATGACCAACTTGCCGGCCATACCAAAAGCGTACAAAAAATGAATATGTAGGGTGAACCGTCTTAAATATTTAGGTATCAAGTGAGCACTAATTTTCTTTCAAGAATTTTTCATCCACAAACATTGGGTTACCTGGCCTTAAATTACATTAGCTTACAAAGGATGTGCAGAAGTTACACTGGCTTACAGTGGAAGGCGCAAGATTTGAAGCTTACTAAAGTTTACCTTCCGAAGTACCTCTTCGTAGTCTTGAGCTGTTTTGATGAGGCGGATTTTGAGAGTACGAGGAGATTTTCGCGCATTTTCGAATGCATCCGACAATGGTTTATCACATCTAGCATACAGACTCAAGATTATCAACTGTTTCTTTCCAGAATCGAAATATGCTTGCTTTGAAATGCACTGCTCCGCTTCTTTTCCACTCATTGACTGTAACAAAGTAATTTGACTGATTTTGGCAACACTGTACACAGTTAGTTTGTCTTGACCACAGTGACAACTTCTCCATTGTTCTTTGTCTTATATTCCTCTTAAGGGCATAATTCTTGTTCCCACACACTATACAAAAGAAATTGTTCGGTTCATTTTGACTCTCATCATTCTGCGCAATTATTTGTATCTCATCCCAAGCAGCGAGACACCTCAGCATGATTCAGAAGTGGAAACACTTAAAGACCAGCTGTGGTAACGCTGAACACACACACACACACACACACAAACATACCCACTCGCGTACACACAGACATATGTATAACTCTGTTCAGAGCTACACATATACATATAGCTCTGAACTTCCAGCTGACTTGGTACTTCCGTCATGAAAGCCATTAAGCAAATTCCTACAGAAGAAGAATGGAGTGTCAGGATCGTCAAAAGGTCGGCCAGTGGGCGAAGCTGCACTGTCAGAACAAACTTGAATTGAAGAAAGTGGCATAGTTGTCAGTTGCACCATTAGAGCGCGTTCTAAATCTGTGTCAGTGGTGAAGCAGCTTTTGCTCTGAGTACCAAATATCAAGTTGTATTTGAATCTCCATGCGATTTAATAGCAGCCTCCAATTACTGTTTACACAGCAACTTTCATTTGTTTTCGAAAAAAATAGCACGAACGTACTGTAACACGAATGCGCAATTGTGCATTAACAACCATAGCCAATTTTATGATCATAAAAATAAGAAACAGCAGCCGCATGGAACTATACGAATTATTACAATTGGCCTTGCTCGTCCAACCACCCGCTTTTATAATCTTTTTTTTTGAAGTCCTCATTAGCGCGTACTCAATCTCGCATGCCTCAAGTAGTCCGGAGACCGAAAGGGATGGGAGAGGGGAGGGGGGAAGAGAGAGGAGAGGTACAAAAGCATATGCAGAAGCAGTCTAATAGTTAGTGACTATTCCAACTCAGAGTAGCCAGTGTTTTTATCCTTGGTAGGTGGTGATCACATATTGGACAGCTCCATCAGTTCCACAGTTGTAGGTTTTAGTTAGTCTGAGTCTTAAAAAGTGATTTTGGAATAATAAGCACGTGCAGAACCAGATCGTGATACTCAGATTTTTTAACAAAAATCCAGTATCAAACAAAGGCTATACGGCCAGTGTGATCATGCTTTTTACGGTTGTTAGGTCAGGTTCATGACACACGAACTGTTATAATGATCCCGTAATTAACTGTAAAGTATCCACATTTTGAAATATTAGCCTCATTTCTTTTCGGAGATTATGTTGGCTGTACCAATTTGTA